GCTACGAAAAAAATAACAGTGTTATCAGCTATTGCCTTCACAGAGAACCAGTGTGCTTTTAGGTCTTAAAAAACCAGCAGCTGAATATGCCTTAATTACTAAAATTGGTTGCAGGGAATGGTGATGTTAAAAACTGAAAATGGATAATCACTAATAATAGTTGCTTGCTCTCTGGAGAAAAATGAGGTGCAAGCAACTGAGAAAAGACTGTGAAATGCTGTAATGATACAAAAATGATTTGAGATTAAATATTATAATAAGGCATGTTTAGTTGATCTCTGAAGTTCTGGTGTATATTTTTTAGTTGAGTAGGAACTTCAATTTGTGTAATTTTGCCTGCATGTTGAAAGCTTGCTTTAAAAATAAACAAACGTAAACACCCACAAAAGCCATGCAATAAAATACTGGAGGAAGAGACAGAAGGATAAAGCAGAATATACCAGAGACTCCTTTTAAAACAACAAAAGGTTGAGAAATGAGTTTAGCAGAGTATTGTGTGCAAGGCTCTGTTCATTCAGCATTCCTACATAATTTTATTACTTACTGAAAGTAGGAAAAAGATCTAAAAATAATGAAGATCACAAGGAAATGTGTGTAAAGTGGTAGTGTGAATTAATCTATTTGAGCAAATACTTTGGAGCTGTGGAAACTTGCTTTTTAGTAGTTATGGTGATGCTAATGCTTAAAGTCATTCCAATATACTATAAAATACTTCATGTTGGAGCATTCCATGGCAGAGAATCTTTCTGAATGATCTCAGTTAACCTTAAAATACTATTTGCCTTCTAAAGGAGCTGGAAACTGAGACTGAAATGTTAATTGTGACTTCAGGCTATAGTGCCCTATGCAGGGTCCAAATCAACAGTGTCTGAAAATAAAGCCACAGGTGTATTTGAAGGTTCTATAGTAAGACAAACTGTCTGAACTAGTCTTCATCATCTCTTGAATACAGTAAGTGGTTTTTGTGCTGATTCCCAGTGGTAATAGTCTGATGGCAGTTTTTAAGTTTTGACAGTTTATCTTGCTGTATGTCTTGCTAGGACAGTATGTTTTATTTCCTTAGTACTTTACTATTACAATAGGAAAATACAGCACAACATATATGCATCATCCCATAAGCCATTCATTCCAAGGCTAACTAATGATTCCTTCATTTTATGTGTGAAATAAAAAAGCCCCACGTCTATATTTAGATAACTTGCTCACGAGATACAGCAAGATGTTCTTACTCAGTGCATAGCACAGTGAGTTGGCAGGGCTGGTGTTTCACATGACTGATAATGCAGAAGTTTCTATTGGTATTGCTGTGGGTAGGACAAAGAATCGTGATGAAGAGGGAACAAGATAGGTATTTTGGGGATACTGTGGACTGTCTCTATCAGAAGAGCCACTTAAAATAAGCCTTATTGCATACTTGTGGTATTTTGGAAAAGGTGGCTTAATATGTGTTAGAAAAGACTCTATTTATTTAAAGATTTGCTACTATTGCCAAAGGCAGTTAAAGTACAAGGGATTTCACTTTATCCAGAGATAATTTTAAGAGAGCCATACATACACTTAGGTTATAGATGACTTCAGAGGTAAAAGTACAGAAAAGAGTAATTGGTAAATACAAATCTGCTTTCTGTTTCGCCAGTAAAGCTGCCCATGAAAGGTTAAGGTGTAATGGATGAGGAGAATTGTGTGTTCTTTGGCACGTGGCAGATAAACACAAATGAATGCAGTAATTGTCTCCATTTTCTATGGGGGACACAACTGCAGATACTGCCAGAAGGTATCACCCCTCCAGTATTGTATCCTATCCCTGAACTGATGGCTTGTTTGATTCTGGAAAATGGCTGAGTGTGAACTGACTCTTGATCATTAATCGTGTAATCATCCATGTATTTTTTTTTTCTTTAAAAAGCAAAGAAAATAAGGGAAAAAGTATTAAAAATACCACTAAAAAAGCCTTCAACAAGATGTATCATGTGGAAAAACCAGAGGGCTATGAACCGGGCAAATACAGGACAAAAGTGGAGTAGATACTGTATGTAAAATTTTATACATGGTTCTCTCAGCTGCCATAGCTTCCTTTATCTGAATAGTAGCTGCATAAGCACCATAAAGGCCAGAAAAGCAGCTTACTGCTTAAATATTGTGATTTATATGAAGTAAAAAAACTTATACAGTGGCTGTCATTTGTGGACACTTACTACACATCCTAAATTATCACTAGTTAATTATTAAAATTTTTAAGTAGTTTTTTACTGGAACTTTCTATTAGATAAGCTGATTAATCTTGTGTTTAGAAAATACTTCATGCAACACAAGCCAGATGGTTTGTTCTTCATCCTTCAGTGGTGAGGAGATTATGTTCGTGCAAGTAAAACGCAGCTTCACCTGGAAGTATTCTTGTTTCTGACTTCCAAAAAGCTAGATTTTCTACAACTTCTAAGTTTTGGCTCAGCTGCCCTCAAAAGTTTAAATGGAAAAAGGCAACAAAGTCTGGGAGTGGGCATCCACTAGAATATGCTGAGGCAAAAGAACAGTGATGTCACAGGTGTGAAAACAATGTTTTCTTGATGAGAAGGAATCTCAGTTAAAGAAAATTAAAACATCTAGGAAATATATTTTCCTGTATTAAAGCTAGGAAATAGGCCAATAAAATATCTATTAACAAATATACATTAATGAATAATAGACTAAAAGGTGTATTCCAGTGTGGTCAGAGATAAGGCACTTAATATATTTTGCAGTGGAGAAAAAATACTCGTGATCAGAGACAGATTCAGTGACAGATGTGGATAGTAAAGCTGAGTAATTTAGTAAAGGAAGGAACAGCAGCAATTTCTGTTGCAGGTTTTTGACTAAAGCTGGGCATATATCTACCTTATGTCATGCTACTGATGTTATAAAGATGTTTGTCATAATCAAAGAATATGAGATGGCATATGCTAAAATAAATAATCTCAGCTGACTGTGACTGTATAAACTAGACAAGGAGTTTTCTGAATTGCTGAAGTTAATGAATAACTGCAGAAGTCTTAATTTCCTGCTAGCATGATTCCAGGGAAAGCTCCAATAAAAAGCTGCTTTTTTGCCTTCTTGGAACTCTTGGAGACTCTATGGGAAATGTCCCTGGCATATACCATATGCTGTTGTTGTCATCAGCACTCATCTCTCTTGGTGGCTGCTGTCTTCCTGCATGAAGCTGATAATTTCCAAACCCAAATAAAGGGGTGTCCCTGTGCACCCAGAGTGCTGCAGTCTTGGCTCAGGGCCTTGTTGAACTTGGTGATGACCTTACAGTCGCCTTCCTCCCTGCCCCCATTCGGTTCTGGGAGACAGTAACTGCTTGGGAGTTTCCCAAGTCCTTCCTGTGTTGTCGTAATAGAGCCAAGTTATTTTAATCTTCTCTGTGTCTTCATGGCTGGCAAAGGTCTGTCCACAGCTAATCTGTATCTCCAAATATATTCCTATTTGTGATCAGCATTTCTGTTTTGGTTTGTTTGTTTTTATCTCTATCTTGAGTATTGAGTAATAAACACTTTGCTGTAGCAGAATCCCCTTCCTTGATCTGCTGGGCGCTCTTGCTAAGGAAGCCCTCAGTCCCACTGTCCATATCGCTGACAAACTGGTTTAACAGCACAGGTCCCAGTGCTGAACCCGAGCCCTGAGGAATACTTCTGCTTTTCAGATTGCTAGAAGACACCTCCCATGGGATCCATGGTGACAGGTTTTCTTTCTGGTAGCTATCACAGATAGAGGATGCAAATCTGAATAGTTATTCTCCATCCTTGCTTTCCTCTGATTCAAAGCAAGGGTAAAAACAGTTGTAACTATGTGTTGTCTCGGGAGGCAGAGGGCCAGGTATATGGAGAAGTGTGTAGCCCTGGTACTTGTTGGCTGTGCAAAATTAGGTGTTGGTCAGCCCAGTGAGATCTCTGCTGGTTGCAGCAGCCCGTGGACAAGGGTTCCTAGATTTGCTTTTTGTTTTGCAGTATACCTAAGCAGTTTTGGCTCATGTCAGAGTAAATCTGTGACATCTCAGCATGTTTTTGCAGACCTTGAACACAGATTGTGATTTTTAGATAGCTTTAGTGTAATTGGAAATTGTTAGATTTTTTTTAAGGATTAAAAGTATGAGCCCAGAGATTTGCTGTGTTTCCACGTAACCTTCCAAAAACGTAAGGCTCTTTCCTCTAGTCTGTTTTCCTGGTATCTTTCCCTACCCCCTTTTTTATTTTCTTCTAAAATTGCCTTTCTTAAATCTCTGCTGAGGTTGTCAAGTCTAGTTAGAGGAAGGAGATTGTGTGCCTGTCTCATGCAATTACTGTATTGCAAATATGGCTGAAGCTAATAAAAAGAGACCTCTATAATGATTGTACAGCAGCAGAACAGGTTATGTTTTATAGTTTTGACAGTTATCCAAAAGGTATCTGTTTCTGGGGGATGGGTGTTCTTAATCACAAAAGATGCTGCTTTCATGCTTTTAAGAAGAATTGTTGGACCGAATTATGATATTGCTGTCACTGATGCAGTTGTTCAGCATATGCATTGAGAAACAGGCCTGTATACATGCATCTAGAATCTCACACAGAAAGCTCCAGTGTGAGTACCATATCTAGAAGAAGATCTGCTGCTGTGAGATATAGGATAGCAAAATGGCTATGATCTTTCTTTGTCCTGGCACACAGTACAAATGCCCTATACATGCACATAGCAATAAAGGAATAGATTTAGCAGACTTTGTTGTTAGGCAAACTCTGATGGACATGAATAATGTAAGTACTCCAAAGGTACTGTGACGTTTGCTTGCTGTTAATGAGCATTGTATCAATACCAGTGTAAATAAAATGTTGCAGTGATGAATCCACTGTGGAAAAGCCTCCAACTGTTGTAATCTTCAGACTACCCACTACTGTTTTCAGGGTCTCTGATACCAAGTAGATAATTTTTTGTGGGGTGAAACAGAAAGTAAAATGAAATGAAGTATGATGTATATATTTTAATATTAGGTCCTTAGAAGAACACCATGATCATCCCAACGTGGTAATGGGAGATCTTCAGTCGGATGAAGAAGATATCATGAACAGTTCTGACGAAGATGATGACACAAATTCTGATTCCAGCAAAGGGGAGACCGATGCTCAAGAAGATAAACAGGTATCTTTTTATCTTTATCATCTGAAGCTATTACTCACTCTTGCAGTATTTCATTAGTTGTAACCTATTTTCAAATGTAAACCACCTCTTGAGGTCTGACCTGTTACCTTCTGTGAGTGCCAGCTTGGAGTGATTTTCCTTATTTTAATGTTATATTCTCTTCAAATGAGGGGCAGGAAGACAGTGTTAACTACTCTGAATGAAATGAAGTTATGAGGGTCCTGTCCCTCCTTTTGGGGGTACCCATGTTCTGACTTCTCTGTCCTGGACACCCTGAAACCAGCCTGCCTGTAGACTAGTGCCTTTCCTCAGCACCAGTCCCAGCAGCTGTTTCCTTTGATAGTAGTTATATCTGCTTCCTTTCTTTAAAAATTATTAAAAAACAAAACAAAAACAAAGCTCCAACAAGATAAACAGAAAAAGCCTATGAAACATTTTAGTGATGGAAGAGAAGACTTGGCGTGTTGGGTCTGAATGATGTTGAACCAAATGAGAGGACTAAATTGGGAAAGAGTCAAGAGAAAAGCTTGTCCCTGTGAAACTAAACAAGACTTTAACTGTATAGAAGCTAATTTACCTTGTGTGCCTTTAGAAATGCCCTCAACCTTTCACAACGGAGTTTTACAGGAAAGTGTCCCCATTAGGAGGGTTCTCAGGCAGGTTTTTATGGAGTAATTCAGCACTTGCTGTGAGGCATCTGCTGTCACTTGCTTCAGCTGCCTGCGGCACGTGCGGCTGGCAGCTGGGAATTAACAACCAACTTCCTCACAGCGAGAGCAGCTGCAGAGGAGAATGAAGCAGTCTCTGCATCGGTCATCAGCTGGGCTTGTTTTATTTTTCCTTACCACAAGCATCTGGCTGCTTTGATGCTTTATATCTGTTAGGGGACTTACAGGGCTTTTTTCCAGTGTTGTGCCGGAGAGCCTTATTTGTATCCTTTTGGTTCTCCCTTTAGCCAGTCTCAGAGCCAGAGTATCTTTGTCTGAGTAAATGCAAAGTGGCCCTTTCAGCACCAGCTGGTATGTGAAAAGTCTTTCAAATGGAGTTAGAAACAGACTGTGGTATTTCATTTTATAATTGTTTAGAGGTAGCATCTTGTTCTTAAAATACTAATTTTGATCTCATTTGCAACTGACACATCTACAGTGATGTCAGATACCTTGCTCTGCATAATTGACTTGTGAATTCAGTCTTGCAGGGAGCGTGTCAGCTGTGCTTTCTAAATAGGCACAGAGGCCTGAGAAGAGGTGTTACAATCTCGCCTGAATGCAATTGACCAGCACTAGATAGATCTCAGTGTTCTTTGGAAACAAATTTAATTTCATAAGTAGAATCCCAGATCTATGTGCAGATGTCTATCTGTATAGTATATAAAATAAATAACTTTGCACATATGTGGTGTTACACAAAATTATTTATTTTTGAAATTAATTTTAATTCAGTAATTAGGCTCATTCATTTGAACTCCAATAAAAAATTAATTTAGATTTATTTTTTATTTTGAATACAACAATATTGTTAAAACCAACCTATGAGTATTACCTGTTCCATGGTTTATTTTCTAGCACTCAAGACTAACTTATAGGTTTTGAGAAGAAATAAGTCTTCAGAGAAATCTTGCAACATTAGTGCTTAAGAACCAAAGTTTTGTGGATAAAATGCCATTGATACCTGATTTTTCTAGATAAACTGTTTAGTGCCCATATTATACTACCATACTCAATGCAGACTTTCCAGGACTTCATCTCACTTGAGTTGTATATCCTGTGCCATTACAGGGCTCGTCATCCTCTTTTCTTTGCAGCACATTAAAATGAAAGCCTGAATATGCAGTAGATGTGGTGACAGCTGGCAGCAGAGAAGCATATGGCAAATCATGAGAGCTGTTTTGGGAAAAGGTGTTCCATCAGAGGGAGATTGTACATGGAAGTTACACTGTGTAGCAAACACACTTGCATCCTGATGCCTGCCCCATTTGCTTTGTTATACCTATTCCCTCTGTTTGACAGTGCCATTGGTACCAAATGTGCATGTGAAACCCAAAATCATCTCCACAGTGTTTCAGGCGGATGACAAGGCTCCCATATCTGCATCTTTGGAGTACAGTTGCTACATATTCCAGCAACACCATTAGTAGATTGTCAGAAACTGGATTTTCTCTTCAATGTGATTTTTTTTTTTCTTTTTTCTCCTGTTGTCTTGTTTTTCAGTAAAGAAAATATATATGTCCTTTAATATGTTCCTGAAACATATCTGATTTCACTGCAAATATTACTGTTGCCACATTAATCAGGAAAAAAGAATCAAATAAGATAGAAACACTACCTGTACTTCAGTACTTTTGCTAAACCAGTAATTGTTCCTTCATTATGGGCTTCAGTGCTTCCTGTAAAAATTAAAAGAAAAGGCTGACAGTGTTGTAAAAACTGCTCCTAGCTAATATTGTTGTTTCCAGATACAAGCTAAATTGATTTTTTCACAGATCACAGAAAACAGAAGGTGTCAAAGCCAAGAGATTTCAAAGCGGTGTGAAGTGTTTTTCTTAGAAGTAACTATCAAATAATTATGTTGAATTTAAGGAACTAGTAGCTGGAAATGATCTTTGACAGTTTCAGGTGCGTAGTGTAACGTGTAATTTTATTTGCAGGGTAAGGCAGCTGGAAAGAAAACAAAGGTTTACCATATTGCCAAGGAGATCATGAGCTCAGAGAAAGTGTAAGTGTCAATGCTACACTTAATAACTATCCAATTTATTTTAATTGGGCAATTAAAATGTAACTGTTTGCTTTTTCTTGCTTTTCTGATAGGTTTGTGGATGTGCTAAAGCTCTTACACATTGTAAGTACTCCAAAAAAAAACCGAAACAGTTTCCTCTATTTTTGTAATCTATTAAAGTTTTATGTTTAGGCTTTATGGTGGTGACTGTGCCTTTTTTCTGCTGCATCTACATATCCAAAATATAAAAAATTAATCTAATTAAGCTGAACTTTAAAGTTTCGCATCTTACATAATGGATGAATATTTTGGTGGTTCCTTCTGGATCTCCTTAATAATTTATGCAGTTTCCAGTTGAGTGTGGGTATTGAATACTGAAAATTGAATCAATTTATGTTAATCAGAATCATATTTATAAGCTAGCTTGTACTGGCTTATAAATATGTACATAGCAACAAAAATAAAGTTTTTTTGTTAGAGTAACTCCTTAAATGGTGGAGGGAGACAGGAATAATTTATTTTAGAAATGGTACATTAAAATGCACAGTCTTGAAGTAATACAATTAATAGCTAATAGCTCTAATGATGCATCCATCAGCATGGCAGTGTATTTTTTTGAGGCTGCAGTTCTTTCCATCAGAAAGATATTTGTTTTCTGATAACACCTGTGATTGTAGTACCTGCAATTGTTGTACACAGCAAGGGTTAAGTATTTCATCTGTGTTTGTGCAGATCAATCATCTGTAAAACATGCCTTGTTGAAGGTGATAATAGGAAATTAATGAAGAGTTTTTCTTTCTCTAGCTCTATTTTGTGTGTTTTCTGTCAAGTTTGAAATCTGTCTTGGTACCGTTTTGTCACTCTAGTAAGTGCAACCATTTTTTCCTTGGGCAATAGAAGTGGTTGTATTGCAAACAGATGCCTGGTCTGTCTCAGTCTCTTGAGAAGCCTGTTCTGTGAAACTGGGAGCAGAGGCTCTTAGATAGTTGTATACAGTCCTGTAATAAAAATTTTTTTTCAGGGAAAAAAAACTCACTACATCTTTTGCTGATTCCTCTTTTGCTTTTCTCATAGTAACTAATTTTCTGATTCTGTTGGTTTTTAAGAGCTGGCTCAGTCAGTTGGATCAAATATATAATTTATATTCAACATGGTTTCTTATACAGAACTCAATCTTAAACACTGGTAAAAGAAAGAGTGTTGTCTAAGGCAAGTGTTAAGCTATGTAATTTTAAATTATCATATTTTTCAGTCACTTAACTTATTTTTTAAAGATACCTTTGCTTTTCAGTGTGCCAGTTTTTTAGGTAGCATATGCAGTACTGGAAGAAAGGCTATTGGTAAAGAGAATGCAGGCAAGCAGAAGAACAGCGTGAAAAAAGGAAGAGTAGAGAGCTTAGGAAGTTTCTAGGAAAAACTTAAAGCTGTCCCCACAGTGTAGATGTGCAATGGTGTAGGATCTGTTTTGCTTTTCCTTTAATGGATAACTTGCAGCTCTGTTCATGAAGTCTGCTAGTTTCTAGCTGCCAAATAAAAACTATTAGAAATGTTTTTGTTGGCTAGCAATAACAGTCAACATGTATTCAGCCTGGTTTAACAGGGAGGATGCTTGTCTAGGAGTTTAGGAAATACTTTGTCCTTAACTTGTCAGTTGGCCTGGAGCAGGACCCTTGGTGAGTGTCCTTGTCAGAGAGGGCACTGGTTTTGAGGCTCTGTGTGTGTGCATTCTTCATTAAATAAGAACTGCCATAGCTAAGAAAGGTTGCAGACACCCAGTTTTTTATTTCCATGGTGTGGTATGCGTGAGGATTTGTTTGTTTTTCATACACATTATTAAATCAATTGATTTAATCATATATTTCTTATGGTTAATATTTTGACGTAGATTAAACTATCCTTTTGATTTCATGTGCACTGACCACTTTGGCTTACTAACTGCCAGTCAAGCAACCTCTGACAAATTTCTGAATTAGAACTTAGATTCTCCCCATACTGGGCTCTTTTGCCCATAAAAGTAAAGATTTGGCTTGTCAGGGGATGCTCCGTTGCACCTTCTGAGCCATCTGTTAGTGGTTTTCCACTTGAAATTTAGTGACTAATTCCATTAGCAATGATCTGAAATTAATAATGCTCAGTATATTTTACCAGTCAGCTAAATGCATCACGTGGTGCCAAGGAAGAGGACTGTTGATGTAAGAAAAAACTTTTTAATTTGCTTCATCTTAAAGCCTTTGAATTGGAATCTAAAGCAGTTAAGGAGGTAGGAATGTGACTGCAAACTAATTACAAGTACCACTGAAATTTTTTAGCATTTTTTTCTTTTATGTTGACAAAGTCAAGTTAGGTGGAGCAACTGTTCCGAGATACCAGAGTGCCAGCCTGTGTGGACCCTATCAAACACTAAAAGTACACCTGACTACTTCTATTGAAGACTCACTGCAAAATTATAAACACTTGGTGAGATTTCTGTAAATACTAAACAACCTGGTCATAACAGACATAAAGGATTCACCTGGCTTTGCACATAGCATCAGGAGTCTCAAACAGACTCAGCAAATGGGGTTGCTTGAGGTGTAATCAAACATTAGATGTAATCTTGAGTTCTCTGTATTTCTGTTACCGTGTTAGTGCTTTTTTAGGGCAAGATTCCAGTAAAATGCTTTTAAAAACTCCTGGAAACAAAGGAGCTTAAATCAAACTAGCTCTTCTGCATGCATGTTTATGAGATGGTTCATGCATTGCCTCCTGAGAGTGAACAAGGGTTGAGAATATGGGAGAAGTACTATTTTTTTCCTAAGGACACTTGCAGAAAAAAGAAACTGTGAACTGGGTGTAAAACACAAGCGACAGAGAAACAAGCTTATCACTTTGCTCTGAGTTGCCCTGTGCCAAAAAAAACACCCAGTGTTCCTGCAAAAAGGAGTAAGGCAGGATTGCTTGCCCTTTGTACTTTGTTGTGGGATTCTTTGGAGATGGTTTGCTTTGCATGAGTGAGGGGACCCCCTCAGCAGCATCCTGGCTCTGTGGGTAAGCTGTCTGGCTTACTGGTTGTCATTTTTTCGGTACGTTTTTGTTCTGAATTTTGTTCTGTTGCCAAAACCCTCCACTCTTTTTGTTTTTCCACTCTTTTTGATTCTGTTTCCTCCCTGCTGCTGTGATATAAGCAGCAAAGCTTCTGGTCCAGCAGAGAAACTTGGTTTTTTGAGGTTACTCCTTCCCCTGCAAGGCTTAGTGTGTAAATTTTTGCTGCGTGAAAAGTTTAGGCCTGTGGGCTTTTGCCTGAGCCTTTAAATCTGTGCTTCTGACTTAGACCTCTGTTCTGTCCATATTTGGACTCTGAGACCAAGTAAATAGGAGCTTGTCAGCAGGCACCTCTTAGCATTTCTGCAGCCACAAGATCAACCTCTTATGCAGAAGGCAGATAAGAGGTCAAGCATCGTTTTCTATTGTGTGTCTTTCCAGAGACAAGAGTGAAAAATTCTGGTTTAATGTTTCCATTTTTCAGAAGAAAATTGCATATTCTGTACATAAAAACTATATGTAGTTTTATATATATATAAACTGATGCCTTTTGTAGCCAAGTATTATGAAAAATAATTCATAGTAGACTTGGAAAAAGAATGTAATGAAAAATAAAATAGCTATGGCCTTTGGAACAAAGTTCTGACCTCTGGTCCTGGCTTACAACTGACTTACTGTTTGACTGTGAAAGATTCTCTCAATATCCAACTCCTTTTACTCCATCTGCAAATTTTCAATATTTAACCAATCTGAGGTGAATATGTTGATAAATTTTTGGTCTCTGAAGTACTTTAGAACTTCTGAGACGTTTGACAATGAGTTGCAACTGCAGTCCTCTTACTAAGAACACTAATAAAATAATTTTAATTTAGAAGGAAGTCTTGTTCTACTACCCATTGCCTGAAATAACATTCTGGGAATATGCCACAGTCAAATCATTGATTATTGTAAAAAAATCAACGGCATTATTTCATTGAAGACTTATAAATTATTTTATTACCTGAGAAAAAAGGTGTGGAACTGCTTGGCTGCTTTCCAAATACGTTTGAAAAAGTCATGATCCACACTTAGTCATAGTCTTGATTAACTATAGTTTCTGTAGTTTAACTTAACACTTTATGGCTAGTAGTCTGACTCTAGGTAGGAATGCCTATTTATATTTTAAATAATCTATTTGTGAAATCTTCTGTAGCCATATTTCTAAGCAGTCATGTTTACAGTTTGTCACATCTAGCAGCCTGGCTGTTGTGAAACTTCCTCCTCTTCCCTCCTCCTTCCCCATAGGATGTCTGTGTGTGTGTGTATTTCTTGAGAGGCATCCAAGTGCAAACATACTTTTTCCTTAAATTCAACTGATATTTGAGCTATCTGCAGGTGTATTTATCTGGGGGAGTTGTTCTTCAGTGGAAGGGATTATGACTTACTTTTTTTTTTTGCTAATGGTATGTTCTGGAAGAACAGATCCAAGATGAATATTGGTTAAAGCTTTAGGAATAGAATATGTGATTATGTTTAGATTTTGTAGTACTTTCTCTTCCTGATAAATTGCCAAGAAGTTTTAATTTCACCCATTTGAAATTATCTTCATTCAACTATTAGGTACCTGAAGGTGCACTAGACCCAGTCAGCAGCTGAGTGAGGTTTTAGTCTGCTCAGTACCTCTTTTGGTTTACAACTAAAATTGATCTTTGCTCCTTAGACTGACACTGGCAGATCACTGCAGGCTGGGAATCCTTTGATGGGAAGAACTGAGGGATTGTGAGTCAGGGCCTTTGCAGAGGGGAAGTGCATGGGCTGATTGCAGATGATTAAGAACAGGGTCAGAATTATTTCAGATATCACAGCCTTTTTGCTTATTTAAGGAAGTTGCAATGAAGGAGTGGTGTGAGAAAACAAAACCAGTAATGATGGCAACCTCCTCAAATATTGTTTAAAAACTCCTCAGCTATAAGGGGAGCGTATACCCACAGGATAAATCGAATTTCCTACACATTTTTAAGTTGGAAGTGTTTTATCAGGCAGTAGTTCAGCAACAGTGTGTACTCAGAAGCCTTTATTATGCCTAGACTAGATTTTCGTGTGGAGAAGTATCCAGTGGGAGGAGGCTGTCTCAGTTTAGCATAAAGTGAAACTGTTTCTGGTTTGGAAAGAACGTTCTTTCCAGGGATGGCAATGTGTGCTGTCCTCTTGAAGTGGCTGTGTGAAAACAATTACCTAATCAGTAAAAAGTGGTATCAGAAGATTATTATTGGACCAGAATATAATGCAATACTAGAAACTGTAAACAAGCATTTAAAAAAATGTAAATAGCTGCCCCACTGCTGAAAGGAATAAAAAAATCCTGGTAAGAAGCTGGGATGATTCAATATAACTAGCATAATATTTTGGGTTTTGTCATGCAACATATGAACTATGTCTGGAGTTGCAAATGTTTTTCAGTGAAATAAGCACATTAATTCCAAAGTGAGGCAGGGTTTGTTTGGTTTTTGTTTCTTTGTTTTTTAGGGTTTTTTTTGATGAGTAAGATTTCAGTATTTGAAAGACCCATTTTTAATTAGAAAGTCTGTCTTTAAAATTCACTTGTAATGGATTGCTGCATTGCTTCAAACAGAATAATTTCTAGGACAACTTAGGTGATTGCCTTTGAACAGGCTAATGAAAGCAGTGCTCCTCAGCAGCTTTATATAGGACAATGTGCTAAATATGTTTGTAATATAAATCATGTCATGCAAGCATATATAGACATCAGAGCAATGTATATATTATTTGTAAGAGCAATTCTGATTTTATTTAGCAGTGAACTGATTAAGGTTTAGAAGGATCTAGGTCCTGGTACTTTAAATTGCTTTTACTGCGGTTTCTAATTTCTAAGTCATTTACTTACTTGCATTAAAAGTTATCATCTGAGTACTTTCCACCCCTTGGGGTGAAATTTCAGGGTGTATTTTGTAAATTAGCATATTTTATATCTGGTAATTAAAACAGACCTGATCTGTGTTTTTGTCCTTTTGGATATGAAACTGCTTTCTAGAAGGCCAGTACCTTCAAGTGTAAACACTGGTAATTCCCACCTTTTTACATTTGTTTTTCTTTTCCCACCCCCGATCCCCAGGCATGTGCACTCTGCATTCAACTCTTGAGTTTATCTCAAGATGAACTTGGCATGACAGTTACTTCACACCCACTGCCAGGTTAAAAATAAATCTAAATATGATTACAGTGACAAATGCGTAGTCAGTAGTGAAGATAATTAAAAAAAAAATTAAAAGAGCATTGAAATTTAGCTCTTGTTATTTTGCAGGCTTTTGAAATTTGAAAGGTTCACATTATCTTTCTTCCCTGTATTTCCTCTCTGTAGCACTTCCTCAGTTTACTCAGTTGTGGAAGGGGACATAGGGGGTGATGAAGTAAAGTTTTGGTTGGCTATTTTAATGACAGAGCCTTTCATGGCATAATCTATAAACTATGATGAAGCTGGTGGACTTTGGGTCAAGCTAGTGGAAAAACCAAATCTGTATTTGGAAAACGCCCTGCAGACTCTTTGAATGCTGTATCTAGAAGTTAAAGAAATGGTCTTAACTACAGCTGACGTTCCTGTGTTATCTAGTGGTGCTTAAACCTGGCTCCCTGCTCTCCTTTTGTTGTTTGGTCAGGGGAGAGCCTGGGTTGTTGATTAAGGTACAGACAAAATTGCTTTGCTTTTCGTCGTGCAGGTCGCCTTATGACATTCAAACAAAATTCTTGTCTCATGCTATGGTAAAATACATACAGTATATTGTGTGTGCATACAACTGGGGGCAGGGGAAGAATATTATCATAATATGATGATGCATTTTGCATGAAGCTCTCCAGAATGCCTCATTTGAGCTTTTGCCATTGTAATTCCATGTATCATTTCAGTGTTAAGCAATGCCCTAGGGTCAGAAAAACCCATAAGATGCAGCTGGTAGTTAACCTATGTGTCACTAGTCTGCACAGAGGATGTAAACCAGAACATTTCCATATGAATAACGCCATCTGTTTTTTAAGTCCCTTGCATTTAGTTCTCAGCCTTCCCCCATTACAGCTCGTGCCCTATATCTCAGTTTCAGTTTCTTGTCAGAACTGCCCAGTCACAGCCTTTGTGACCCATAGGGTCACAAAGCAAGAAAGCGTGTCTGGAGCTCACGTTGCCCAGAGCTGATGTAATGAGGAGGGAGAGCAGGGAAAAGTTGAGGCTTCAGTTTGAGAGACCCTAAATAGTGCCAGATGCTGGACTGAGGGGATAGCTAATAAGAACTGTAGTAGTGGACCTGGGGAGGGGCGAAAAGGGGAGATTAATTTTTTTTTTTTTTTCCTCAACCTGAGGACCCTACAGGTTTCCAAAGACAGGCCTGGATGCCATGCATATTTAAAAGATAGCTTATTACTATACTTAGACCATTTTGTTGGTCACTTTTTTCAAGATACCTACAGATCATGCATGTGATAGTAGGTTTCATTAACCACAAACTCCAAAAATGCTGTTTTGGATTAATTCTCTTTTTGCCCAGATTTAAGTGAGATACGGTAATACGTAATACTACATGATTTATATTTTCTTTTTTGTCAGTTAAGACAGTGTTATTTTTCAAGTGAAATGCTAGATTGCTAAACTTTTTGAAAGATTTATTTGCTTGTGAATAGGGAAAGTATCCTGTATAAGGGATAGTGAGTTTCAATCTTGACCATGCTGATTTGTATGGGATTGAGATTTTAACTTTGAATAGTGTAATGAGGACCAATGAACCTCAGCTCTAACCTGTTTGGAGCTGATTATAGCATAAAAATGCTGTAAGATCCTTCAAGAGTGAGTAGGGTGCTCCTCCTCCCCTGTAAATGTTTCAATGGTACCTGTCAGTGTTGACTTTGATCATTGCCAACATTTAAAATCTTGTGATTCCCATCTTGTTACAGTATCTTTTTGTTAAATTTTAATTTTCCTGTATTTAGAAGAGCTGCTACATATAGCAATTTTTTTGGCCCTACTTTTTGCCCTCCAAAATGCCATTTGTAAATGAGTTATGAACGCTAGGATGGTTTTTAAGTAAGGTACTATGATTATATTAGCTGATTTTAGGCTAGGCTAAAATACTGTTGTTTAGCCTGCCTTAGTTTCCTCATAAGTAATACTAACACGTTTCTTAAGGACATGTTGTAAAAATAATGAATCACTTCTATATTATGCATACAGGACCAAGAAAGCAAAGCTCTAGTGTCAAACCAAAAGGATTAAGGCGGTCCCAGGGGAGTAAATGGAAGCTGCAGAAAAACATAACCCAGATGGTATCTGCCTTGCCTTTGGTAATAGGGAGCAGTGCCTGGAATGTCTGCGATGAGAACTCTGTTGTTGCACTCTCTGTGTTGGTGCTTTGAAGGCTGGTCACTCATGGCAAGGGGGGTTTCTGTCCTCTTTGTACTCTGGCAGGATTTCCGGGATGCTGTGGCACATGCCTCTAGGCAACTTGGAAAGCCAGTGATTGAGGACAGAATCCTGAATCAGATCCTCTACTACCTACCTCAGCTCTACGAACTCAATCGGGACCTCCTGAGGGAACTGGAAGAGCGATTAACTCACTGGTGACTATCAATAAATGGATTCCACTCCTTTGATGTTGAAATTTTTCTGGGGGGCTTTTGTGACTTCATGTGATCATGGTTTGAGTCTTGTTTGTGTTTCCTGTACCTTCCTAAATGTCAGAATTTACTTTGAAAGTATAGGAGATTATTTTTCATTTAGATGTGCTTTTGTGCCATTTAGATGCATCCCAAAAGGTCCAGAAGGCATGCCAATACGTTTTTGTAGCAAACAGTTTTTATTTGAAATTTTATTTTTAATTGAAAGTTCCGGTCTCTCGATGAGCATGATAAGTGCACTGATTTCATTAGGGAAAAAAGAGGCCGTTTTGAAGACTGTTTTGCATTTTAGAGGTAGTTTAGATCTACTGATCAGACACAGCACTGATTGACAGCTACAATCCCCTTGAAGATCATTCTCAGTTACCACTGGTGAGTGGAGCTATACAGAACCTACTGACAGAGTCACTGCAATGGCTAGAGACTTTCCTCACCTTGAACTAAAGTGTTCAAACAGTTCAAAACCAGTTTTAAAAGACTGTATATTAAGTGGTTGTCATCTAAAACTAGTGTGTTGACATGTGCCTAATAAGGTTTTTCAGAATAGCGACAGACGGGTGCCTATCTGCTGTAAGCTTTTTGTTCAGAACATAAACGTAACTCATCTTACTCTGAAAAAGAGAGATGTTTTGCTGCAGGGTTAAGATGTATGCTATTTTTAGGTCTAATTGCATCTTTTTTGTTGTTGTTTCTAGGCTTGAGCATCAAAGAATTGCTGATATATTTGTTAAAAAGGGTCCCTACCTAAAGATGTATTCAACTTACATCAAAGAATTTGATAAAAATGTTGCATTATTAGATGAACAATGTAAGAAGAATGCAGGATTTGCATCAGTAGTCAAAGACTTCGAGGTATTGTATTCTTTTATAAGGTATATCCTTATATCTTAAGTTACTATTTTGTGACTTTTTAGCAGTTGTGATCCTCCAGTGAGCTTTAGAAACTGTCCCTATTTTGTTTGTGTTTTGGTGATGGGGTTTTTTTCTGCAGTCTTGGCTTAAGACAGGAAGAAGATGAGGCCTTTTGAAGGACTCAGTGTTTCAGATTCAGATTATTTTGGATGCAAACTCAAGATAATTAGCATCTTTGAAGCATGGATCTTTTAATTCTGTGTTGTCTTTAGAGGTGTGGATTAATAAAAATTTCTGCAGTGAGCACTCCTGTCTTCTCTGCCTTTTTGCCTAATGGACGCTCACAGCGATCACAAAGGAGCATGTTGCCCTTGCTATCCTGTTTCCTTTATTTCTGAGAAACTTCACCTCTCTTCCTCCTAAGTTAAAGCACCTGTTTTGAATCTAAGGAATACGAGTGCTTACTAGCGTCTTTCACACATGGGTAATTTTGCATGCAGTCTTCAGTACTTAACACCTTGGCCGTAGCACTTTTCAAAGATAAAAAGCTTATCGAGTATAATCAGTAGTTGTTTGTAGGCATGTTTTCTTTTGCTGGAGCTTTTGACTGCTGTGGAATTGTTATTTATTTTGGGTGTTTCTTTCAGATGAGCCCCCGCTGTGCTAGTCTGGCCCTCAAGCACTATCTGCTCAAGCCAGTTCAGAGAATTCCCCAATACAGGCTCCTGTTGACAGGTACAGTCAAGCTTTTTGCAGACTTAAGAAGCCAGTCTTCACATGCCCCAGGACACCTGTTCTCACACAATTGTATCCATTTGTAAAGTGTGTTTATCCGGCTTCAGATGTGTGAGGCTTTTTTAAAACATGTCATAATATCTGAAACTCTTTTTAAAACATAGGATGGGATTAGAGGCTTTTCTTGCTGATATTGATTGTGGTAAGATACACAAGCAAGGTCCTAATGTTTCCAGCACTGTGGTGTGTTCTGATGGTAGATTCAACAGTACATAGAAAACATGAAACGTGTGATGGTTTTTGCTTGAATCTGTGGTAGTAGAAACCTGTAATTTCCCTTCCTAAAGGGTTGTTGGAATGTTCCTGTTCTGCTTTGGATTTTGTTTTTTTGGTTTTTTTTGAGGGGATGGGGGTTTAACAAATGAAAAAGGCAGTATGGAAAATTGGAGCAAGAAGAAGAAAGATATCTATGCAACTGCGAACTTCTCTAAGTGGTTTCTCCATTTCTCCCCCACCCAGGTGTTTTGTCTGTAAAATCCATTCTCTTTTAAAGGCAAAACACATGTTTTTAGTGCATGCCAGTAAGTGCTTAAGACTTGCTACCAGAGCCAGCTGAGGAGCTGATTTGGAGCTAGGAAATCTAGGCTCTGTACCCTGCTCTGGCACTGGCATGTTTGGGTGGCCTTGAGCAAGTCATCTCCATGATGCAGTGGGGGTTTTTGTCTGCAAAGGGAGGGAAGTGACAGAGGCCTCCTTTGTGAAGTATTTTGAGATGTGTTTGTTGTAAGAGGAGGATGGCTCCTGTAAGGATTTGGAAATACTTAAGGCATTGTTTTTGAGAACCATTGCTTCTTGATGAGCAATTTAAAAATAACCTCTGTTTATGTAGTAACTGCAAAATAAAATGCTCCGTGACCTTTTTTTTTGGCTCTTTAGCAGCTCATTGGCATTTTCCCAGCATATACTTAGACTAGCGATGCTGTGGCAGGTTCAGACTTGAGTGTTGTAGAGCAGTTACCAAGTTATTAATATTTCAATCATCTCATTAAACTCAAGGTGTTGAAAAAAGGGGGGAACTCTTATTAAATGGAAGTCTATAGCGGAAAATCTTAATGATACTTGATTAAATCAACCTATAAAATGGCATTTGGGGACTTGCTTTATTTTAAAAGGATATTCACTTAGGACATGGTATAGATTGTTATACACTTCAAAATCAGTGGAGCCTTGGGTAAGGTCAAAGGTTTTAATTGAAACAGAGTTTAGTTGAATAGAGGATCAGGATGGAGCAAATGCCATTGTCAATGTACACAGCAGAGCGAGAGATGTCAGGGATGGATGGCACTGAAACAAAACTCAGATGTTGAAGGGGAATTCCTCGTGATGATTATCTGGCACTGTGGCTGGGACAGACTGTTTTAAACCTGGAAAAGCCTCATCCTGTGCTGATAGAGGTTATTGTGGGTGTCCCCAGTCTGCAGACCTTATTGTGGCTGCCTGGCTTTAAATACACCTGCAAATGCTGCTGAAAGGAATGGGATTACCATGCTGGTGGCAAATTTTAAAAACATAATTTTCTCTTGTTATATGTGAGCAATAAAAGAGGTCAGGCCAAGAATTTAATTATGCTGGAACTGGAGAGTGATGTTTTGGATCTATTTCATTTTTCGCCTGTCCAGTCTTTCATGTATGTGTGTTGCCCTTGAGTTCTTATTCTTCCACGTCTCTGTGGATGACCCATAGGCTTAGTTACCTTCCAACAGCTCAGTGTAATATTGAGCAATGCCTCTATAAACTTGTACTATATGAACATCTGGAGGATATGCAAAGCATTTGTATCTTTTTTTGCAGTGGGTGAGATGTAACCATGGAGCAGCTGCCTAGGCCGGAGATGGGGGGGATCTGTGGGGAGGAGGGTGAGAGCAGCGGAATGAAAATAATCCAGGAAACGAAGCTGAGGCCTGAGTCAGCAGGGATTTCTTCCTATTTAGATGTTCTGTGTCAGTGGGACAGCTTTGTACTGGTAACCTGCTGCTACTCGGTCACACCACAAGATTGTTGCAGTGCTTTGAAGTGGAGTTACTTTTGTACTAACAAAAGCAGGAGCAGGTGGACTCATAAATCAACCAGGGAGATGCACAGCTCAGCGCTGTTTCTGTTTAATTATATAGCTTCTCCAGTCCAGTGTAGATTTCTACTTCTTCATATACTGGCCCTGAGCACTGTACAGTAAATATTAGATAGCTTATGGAGGAGGTTAATCAGAGATCTCCTCTGAGAAATGAAGGAGAGGTAATTCTCCCAAAAACTTCTAATTTGAGAGGATGACTTGAGACTGTGCAATATGAACAGGCTCTTGATTGTCGCAAGATAAGCCTCTCCTCTTTTTCACAGCATAAGGTTGGCAAAGAGTGTCTTTTATTATCCTTAGCTGGGTTAGAGTGAGAGGAGGCTGAGTGGGATGAAAAATTAGCCTTTTTGCACTCTGCAGCTTTGCAGGTTGGAAATAGACTTGTCAGACTCAAGGCCAGTTACATGCTATGGAACAATTGCTTTGAGTTTAAATTAATTCTATTAGACAACCCAAGACAAAAAGTAGTTAATGACGCAGGAGATAATTTTAAGCAGAAGAAGTGATAGCCACTGCCCCCAGCAAGTAGGAAGAGAGAACTGGGGGCTGCTGTCAGGTAGAAATAGGCATACAGAAATTTTCATCACAAGAACAGTGCTAATGTGCTTTTTACTTTTATTTTTGCTGTGCTTTGGGATATCCAGCAGAATTAAGATCTTTTGAAGGTATGATTAAGGTCTTTCTAGTCTAAACAATGAAAGCTCATTTCAGAGGGGAATATTTTTCTGCGAAGACATTAGATGCCATTTTACCTTATATATAACTTCAGCATTTATTTAATCTTGCAAAAATTTTACTGCACCATTTTTCATGTCTGTGAAATCAGCTTGTCTGTATAGTTTATGCCAGTACCTCCAGAAAGCTGTTGTAAGCACAGAATTTCCAGTGTGTATTCACAGAAGAGACTAAAAATATCTGTGCTGATGCTTCTCTGAAGCTGAGTTTTAGCTGTGAACTGAGGTCCACTTACCAGATAAAGAGAGTACTAAGATGAAAATTACCGATTTATCATTTTAAGGATTTCATAGTTGTTTTATTGGCAGCTGCATGCAGCTTTATAAGAAAAAGGCTGCCTTCTGGTTTAAATATATAATTTTAAATGACTGCAGTTAGGTTAAAATCTTGATTTTTCTTTCTTCTATTCACTGATTATATAATTAAAATGCTGGAAAAGACCCATACAAAAATGGATTTGAGTGGTGGTGTTTTGGGAAACATCTTAAAAAGCATGAATATGCCAAGAAATAATTAGTTCCCATCTTGGGTCTCTGGTTTTATATTTCCACTGCAATTACTTTGGATGTTAAATTGGATGTCTTCATGTACCAGGGACAGTGTCTTAGAGTGCCAGCTGTACATTTGCAGATGAGGAACTTATACCCACCTTACCTCTTGTTCCCAGCCTGTAGAGGTGAGTGTGTGGTTTGGGAGCCTTATTTCTGTATGACCTGTAGAGACTCATATTTTATACTGGGAGATTCCCATTGGAGTCTTTTGTGCTGGCCCCAGTGAAGATCAAGTTGAAATTGTAAAGTTTTAATTTGGTAGCTTAATAGTGAGTCCAAAGAATGCTATGCCTCAGCAACATGGTACAGCTCTAACTTGAGAGACCACCCATCCACAGACAGAGCAGGAGGGGGGAACTGGTGTTGTATCTGTGACAGGTTCCTCCAGGTTAAACCAAGCCAAATTAAATTTGGTGTGAATGCTTCTCAGTTCCTTTCAAAATACCTCCTGTTAAATTTTTTTCCCCTTATATAAGCCTCTTACCAGAATAACCCAAGGTGAAGCAAGATTAACCTTTTCTTTTTTTTTAATTGAATAAATGGCCACCTAAATATTGCATTGGAATGGTTGGTAGCTACTACAGCACAAGATTTTGAGGGACATGAAGGATGCAGTATTGATGGAGTATAGCAGGATGAGTTTTGGTGTCAGGTCAGACTTGTCTTAAAAAAATCACATGTTGACGAAAGCCTGCTAATGATAAGGCAGAACTCTGAGGAGAGCAGAAAGCTCAGAGTGTTCCCATGGCCCAACCAATCATGCTTCCCAGAGATCCCTCCCTGCCTCCCAGCTGGTTCCTCTTCCTGCACCCCAACCTGCTCTTCATGCTTCACCCTTGGATCCTCCCTTAGGTTTCTGCCAAACAATAAAGTGTCAGTGCCAAATGTTTCTCTTCCTGTACTTCAGTTTTGCTCAAAGTTTTCATTAACTGTGACAAGTTCTCTCACTTTTCGTAGCTATTGTACTGCAGAAACATGTTTCATAATTCCCTTTTAATTTTGTGCATAAGGAAAAGATTACAATACACTGAATGGTCTCTGAGGGGCATGCATGAAGCAAGACATCTTATGAAGGCAGGAACAATTGGCTCCTGATCCTTTTTGAATGAAAGAATGAATTTGGGTAGGGCAAGCATATGGGAGTTGAATTATTTCACTCCTACATGAAGGTTGTACAACCGAGAAGCTAAAATTGAATTAATAAAATTGCTACATTACATGCAATTAGTTTTCCTTAGATCTGCCAGAATATTAATACTTCATTCAAAAGGTAATTATAAATCACTATTTCTTGTTTTTATCAATCTAATCTATATCTCTTGGAATGTTTCTGTTTTGGTTTCTTTTCATTTTAAGGAGTTCAAAGCTTATAGAGAGTAGATGGTTGACGTTTTACTGAGGATATATATAAATCTTTGATGAGGTATTGCACTTTTTGATGAACTAGACACTCAACCAGGGAATGGAAACTCGAAGGGAATGTTTTCTTGTATAGTCATACATTTGGAGTTAATTTTAGCAAAGTGTAAAATAGATCTTAAAACTACCAAGACTTTAATGGATCGAGGGTGCCATCTCGTGGTTGAACTGCATGCGTCATTAAAACCAGAAAATGCCTATTTGAACATTGAGGGAAGTATATTGTTTTTATTACCGAAAAATATTAATCATAATCAGATCTTCTGTAATGGACTAGTTTTTTAATTAGCTCCTATAGACTAGCTTAGGTGTTCAGACAGATATCTATAATCTTCTAAAATTTTTGCATCAGCTTAAATGTAAAGTATTGGAAATATGTACTAATTTTTCATTTGCTTGTTTTTTCTGGAATATATAATGTATACAATATATCACTTTTCACTGTAGAAGACCACTATTTCAGTAACCCATCTCTTTGCTGATATACTTTCATTATGGAAATGCTAGTTTTCACTTCTAAATCTGTCAAGGTTATAACAGAGATGAAGTAGCAGATCTTTGTCAATTAAATAGTAGATCTGAACAACAGATTTCCAGGAAAAAGATGGGGTTTATTACTTTCTGGTGTTGTTTATTTATTTAACAAAACTATTTTTATATTATTTTTTTCTTTATACAGATTATTTAAAGAATCTTTTGGAAGAATCTGCCGACTATAGGGATACTCAAGGTAAATGTCTCTTTAAAGAAATAACTGCTAATATACCAATGTTTCCAGATTTTAAATGCAAAATGCTAAGTCAGTAATAGAAATGTTTCCTATTTAGTTCTAAGTTTCTCAGCAGAGATACTAAAAGATTACAAGCTTGTGTTTCAACAAAATTTGGAGCTGGCAGTCATATCAGCTCACGCTTGAGTTGAAACCAAGAGCTAAGAGCAAAGTTCCATAGGCAATTTAAACAGATATTTCAGGCACTGCCATTGAAAGAGTCAGTCCCATCTGTAGACCTTTAGTAGGCCTGGTCTCTCCAGCTATGAGCCTTTCTGGCCTTCTCCTCTCTGTATGCCAGGAAAAGCATCCATGTGGCAGAAGTGAGCAGTATGAAGGAGCTGCCATGTGTAATATTTAAACTGAGGAGTTCTCCAGTTTGACTTGTCAGAAGTTGCACAAAAACACATTACTTACACAAGTTTGCTTGCATGTGGCAAGAAAGGAGATCAGAGGAAATGAGAAGTAGTTGGTGATGAAGAGGAGACAGGACCATGCATTTCGTAGAAGTGCAGGATTAAGATGGTTTAACTCAAGCACGTCAATGCAATGCACATTCAGATTGTTACCTTCTTCAGAGTGCCTCAGCAGTACAAAAATGCTCCCAGCTCATGTTTCTATTTAATTTGCATGAGATTCTGTCACATTTGTACAAGTCCATTACCTTTAGAAGGGTTATTCAGATGTAGCTGATTGAACTTCAATAAATGAATACCTTCAATGTACTGAGCCAAGTTTGCTTTGTTTGCTGGTACAAGACCATGAAATAGATGAGTAAATATATTTCTTAGGACATTTAGACATATTTGAGTATGTTGAAGATACAAGCCAAAAATATTTTAACTGATGGCTCTTCAGGAGAGAAACAAATTCATCTTGCACTTCTTTTGGCTGTGAACAAAATAATACTTGCATTGCATATTAAATAGTTGGCCACTTGAAAAGAGAGCAACCTAAATATATATTTCATTTTTTTGTGGTTTCTCCAGCTTCTCTGTTTTTTGTAGTTATATCTTCCACAGTGTTTTTCTCTCCCTTCTTATATCAAAGATAGAAGCTGAAGCTAAGTTATAACAATAACTAAGTGTTAATTTGACATTTGACATATTTGGTAGTCCATTTTAGAATTTGGGTAAGAAAAGAGAATCTAATCTTTAGTCACCAAGATCTTCATTGTAATAATTAAGCTTAACTTACTTCTAACTTTGCTTAGTTGTTTAATTCCACTGCAGGGGCCTGGGAGTGAAGGGGAGGAGTGTAGAGGGAGACTAGGTTTGATTGTGATTAGTACTCTTGGAAAAAAAACAAAAAACAAATAGCACAATTCTTCTTGCTGACCTTCATTTGAATACATTACTTCAGCTAAGTGGTATAAGTGGAATGCTCTTCCCTGCCAAAAAGCACTTTGTTTATGGACTTTGACCCTATAGATTATTTTATGTTGTTGTTTAGATTCATTTAGTGTTGGCTGTATAAATAGTCCTGAGATCCTGGAACTTTCCCTTCAATTGCCAGCAAATTTTATCATTTTCTCTAAAATTCTTTGATCTTTCTTGAAGTCAATGAATAAAATTTTAAGGTTTTAATATATATATTTAGTAACTGAGAGATGAAGGAAAGTATAGCAGAGGAAATCAGGTACTCATTCCTATCTTTGTGAATTTAGCTACATTTCCCTTCATCTTCTTTCACGTGGGTGGGAGCTGGGGAGGGTTTTGCATGAAGCAGCTCTAATATTTCCTAGAAGGAAACCACCAGCTACATTTCAGCCAGCTTGCTTGATACCATGACATCTATAGCAAAACTTAAGTTTTGATCGAATGCTTGATATGTGCTATGTATTTTAGCTGTTTGACTGTGCTTGCATTGCCGTGGTTCATGACAATCTTTTACAAAAATTCTCCTTTGATTAGCTTAGAAGGAGCTTTTTGTTCATGTCTGTTTAGTTTCTTATATGGCTTCATGACTTTCTGAACCTTTCAGTTCAGAAAGCTGTCTTTTAACATACTTCCTTTCTGAATATGAGTCAACAATAAAGGAAGTATATGCATTCTACAGTACTAATTCTCTAACGATTATCTAGGAGAAAACCCCAAGGCTTTGGTTTTACCTTGTTTGGTAGGCTTCTCTGTGGACTTTTAACCAAATTTATTCCTTTCTTTGAAGTGCTTGACTGTAATTCAGTTACTCAGAAGGTGCTAAATGCTTTAGAGACTACATTTCATCAGAATAGTTGTTCTAGCTTGCTGTTCAGTGTCTTTCTTCTGCTTAAGTAAATTGCAGGTTTTTGGATAACATCTTTGTATGGGATGGACCCTTGAACTGAGCACTCACTATTCACATAATCATTTAATGTAACTGCTTTTTGCACTTACACCTTAGGATATTTTACAGTTGAGTTGCTGGTTATTAAATATCAGTACTTAATAAAGTTGCTGATATTTGGTAACTTTTTTCCCAGAGATTTATATTTCTTTTGGTATTACAGAAATGGCAAAGATTTATATAATTTTTCTAGGTAGTCTTCCATGAATGGCAGTGATGACATTTGGGCAAAATTGCAAAGAGACTCGTCCCTGCAGAGTCTCTGTTAAAATGTTGTTAACTTTTCTGCTCTAAGTATACTAAGTAATTTGTTATGTTAGAAACTGGAATTTAACTTTGCCTGTGGACTGTTTTGAGTAGCTGTAAGAAATAATCAGCACTGTTGGTTGAAACAATGACTTGCATCTATGACTAGAGCATACTTATTAAACTATGATCCAAAGACTCTGGGATTTTTGGGAAGTGCTTCTGAATGCAGTGACTGTACAATAAGATCCTTCAATCTTGCAATGATGTGGAAATGCAGTATGGTATCTGTGCTTTACATTATACTAATGCTAACTGGTCTGTATAACTAAAACATCATTCCTTCGTCTTTCAGATGCATTAGCTGTTGTCATAGAAGTTGCAAACCATGCCAATGACATCATGAAGCAGGGAGTAAGTATTTTGCCTTATGAAGCTGGTTGATTAAAGCTTTCTCTTTCTCTCTCTCTTTCTCTCATGTTTTTGTTCCTTAAAAGAAATCATGAATGCAAGGGTGAGTACTTACCTTCTGCTTTTTTCCCTCATAGGATAATTTTCAGAAACTCATGCAGATCCAGTACAGTTTGAATGGACACCATGAGATCGTACAGCCAGGAAGGGTAAGTGCCCCACATGGCATTCAGCAGATTATAGTGGAAGTGCAGTGAAAGTGAAGATGATATGCAAGCAAAGACTGATGCTGGAATATACCAAGAAGAAAATTGGTCCATTGCTTCATTATTAGGTTCTAACACTCAAATGAATACTGCTGCTCCATATGTGTGGGGTTTTTTTTTAGACATTTATCTACAGAAACTTAGAATTTTTAGAATATGATTCCTTGCCAGATCTTGCAGGCAGGTTTTTGTCCTCAGACTTAAGCCTGTATTTCTCACGGTTTCACATGCAGCATGGAAAATGAATGCAGTCATCCACACTCACTTTTAGAGAAACCTACGGATAAACAACTTTTCTCAGAAAGGGAGCTCCAAATCCCAAAACTTGTACAGCACTTCTAGTGGAGTAATACTAATAATAATCATGATAATAGTTATAAAAAAGTCAGCTCATTTGCATGGATTGTGCCCTAAAAAGCTGAGTTTTACATTTCTTGTTTTAATTTACTAGGTCTTTTTGAAAGAGGGAACACTGATGAAGCTATCACGGAAGGTCATGCAGCCAAGGATGTTTTTTCTGGTAAGATGCTATGTATGTTGCTATGTGCCTTATCCTGGTGTAATTTCTGGCAGTTAAAACATTACACTGCAAACATAACTAATAACTGCAGGTAGTAGAAAAATTGCTAATTGTTGATGTTCAGTTCAGCCAGATCTAATGTAGAGATATTATCTGTGGCGTGTGCACTAATTCTAATGGAAAACCATTTCTCACTCAAGTGTACTATTTTGAACAATGCTTATTTAAAATCTGTGAGCTTTCATGAGAAGACATTATCTGTGGTACTGTGGAAGGTAGCACAGTTACTCCATCCCTCTTAGCTGTACCAGATCTTAAAACCTAGAACTCTTGTTGCTGCTACTGCACCCTTCCCTCCCTCCTTTCCTTCCTTCTGTCTCCCTCCTCCTCTCTCCTTCCCCTTGCAGGAGCCCACGTGCATCCTGAGCAGAGCTCTGGGTGGAAGTCAAGTACTGGGTTCTCTTCCTGTCTCTCCTACTGCTTTGTTTTGAAACTTCTATGCATCTCTGAAGTTTCTGTTTCCACTTGAACGTTTTGTTTATCTCTTCTATTTAGACAGTAAAGCAACTGTTGTCCTGTAATTTATGGCATTAATGGTCCACAGTCCTGGCTGAATTCTATCTTGTAGTTACCCTAATATGAAGAAATACTTCCCTAGGAAGTCCTGGAGTATGTATTATACCAGTTATGGAAATACTCTGAGATGTCGTGCTATCTCAAGCTTCACAAACCAGATATTGCTAATTTCAGTGTCTCTGTCTTGGATTGTCTCGGTTTTTTGTTTTTTGGGTTTTTTTGGTGGTTTTT